AAGGGGGCAGAGGAGAAGCGGTTCCGGGGACGCTTGGGGAGCGCCTGGCACCGGCCCAGGAGAAAGGCTGTGCCGTGATCGGATTAGCACAGGCCCACACAAGCCATTGCTGCTACCACTGCTGTCGAATTGCAACACGTCTCATGCCTAGAGGACCCCTGGCCAGAAAGGGCTAAACAGCCCGCAGGTCACCTGACCCAGGGTCAACCCGCAGACCGAGCCTGGTACCGTCATCCGGTGCTAGGCAGGGTGGGGCACTGAAACGCAAACCTAATGGGGTGGGCTTGCTTATGTCTCTTGCTAAATCGTAGCCATGTAAACAGACCGTTCCTGTCTAGTACTATGGCTGGGGGTCGGAGATCAAAGGCCACAGGCACGTTTGAATGAATCTTGGGTGAAGTAATTTCATTGTCTAGGTCTCTGTAAAGTCTGTGATACTCTGTTTAGTGGATTAATTACCTTCGGTTAATTACCATAATGCTTGGGAAACAAAAACCAGGGGACTCCTCTTTACAAAAGCCTATTGCTCGCCCAGGACGCACGAGGCTGCCAGGAAACTGCGTCTTGATCTTGTCATCTCGGAACTGCTGAAGGCTTCATGCAGGGGAACCCGAAGCCAGAAGGACTGAGGTCCCAGTCGTACGCTGATACCCCCCAATCCAACACTGGACTCTAACCTAAGGACTCCAATCTAGAAGAACTCTTTGCAGCTACAGGCTGAACCTCTGAAAACCGGCCCTCTGTGGTATGGCAACCGGTCCACAGATGCTCCTGGACCAGAGAGCCCGGGAGCTTAATGACAGGAGGGCCAGCAACCCGGCTGGGGGCAGCGGGGCTGAGCCACAAAAAAGTGCTGGAACTAGGCTGGAAAACTCCAGCAGCCTGTGGCAGCACGGGGCTGGAGGAAGAAGAAGCAGGGCAGCGTGAAGCCGGGGAAATCCGGCCGCCTGTGGTGGCATGGAGCCAGGACAATCTGGCCACCCGTGCAGCGCAGGGCAGGGCAGCTGGAGAACTCCAGATGCCCATGGCAGCCGAGGGCTGGGGGGCCGATGACAGCAGGGTGGACACCCTGTCCTGGGGGGAAGATAGAGGGGCCAGAGGCAGGGGCAGCTGGCTCAGGGCTAGTGGCAGAGGACACCCCCCTGGTCTGGAAAATTCTCTGCTCCTGACGTTGCCGGACCAGGGAGGTACCACCCGTCCAACACTCCCCA